ATATAATGCACGGCAAAGCAATGCCCATTGGGGGGAGGAGGGGAGGTAAACTAAATCCCATGACATTGATGGGTCCTTCCCACTCCTCCCCCCCCCCCCCGTCTTTTGGGAGTGCTCCTCACCCGCCACTCGGAGGCAAAAGAGGCAAAATTCTCTGCAGGTCCAAGCTGCAAAGCCAGGATGCATCCCAGGAACCGCAACCAGGATCCTGGCATTAACACACAGTGTGAGCCAAATGCGGTTCCTTGGTTTGGGTGGAAAGCACGCACCGGGCAATGCCACAATATTATTGCCCCCACCGGTGAACCGCTGATCATGATCTAGGAAACTGGATCCATTCTTGAGTGGGTCTTGAAACCAAGAATTGGAGGTTGCAGAGAAAAGCTTTGAGGACGGCTTAGGGGTCTCCATCCCTCCTTCAACCCCCCCCACCACTCAAGTGCCTGAACGGCTTTGTGGCTAAGGATCTGGGTTTATTTGCCAAGCCAGGATGGAAGGCTTGTGGTGTAAGAGATTCCTCCGCCTCCTCCTCCTCCCTCAGCCTCAGGGCGATTTCAGGCACGGTTTTTGTGACTGTCGGGTGTAGAGGATCATGAGAAGCGGGTCCACAGCCGGCTGGGGAATTCTGGGAGTTGAAGTCCACAAGTTTTCAAGTTGCCAAGCTTAGGGATCCCTTCCCTATAATTTGGAGTGTATCCAACTCAAGATAATTAATACAGTCGGTAGGGAAATCTTACCCAATAATCCCATTTATATGACTAAGATGCCCAAATTAAAATACCTTCCGATGCAATTCTAAACAAACAAACAAACACTGCAAAAGAGCTCGGGATCAGGATGCAGTTAGCGAATCCATGGATTCCGTGTCTTGGGGGTTTTATTTCTGTAAACTGCCTGAAGTCACCGTGAGTTGGACAGCCATATAATAACAACAATAACAACAGAGTTAGAAGGGACATTGGAGGTCTTCTAGTCCAACCCCCTGCTCAGGCAGGAAACCCTATACCAGGCGTAGGCAACTTTGGCTCTATTATGACTCGTGGACTTCAACTCCCAGAATTCCTCAGCCAGCCATGCTGAGGGGAAAGGGAGACGTTTCCAAGCTGAGCCATGCTGGCTCAGGAATTCTGGGAGTTGAAGTCCACAAGTTATAAAAGAGCCAAGGTTGCCTACCCCTGCCCTATACCATTTCAGTTAAATATAAATTTTATTAATAAAGAATAACACGCACACACACACACACACACACACACCCTAAAAAGAGGCTGCACCAGCGCGAGAGGACCCATGTAGGCTATTTGATACTTTGACAATGAAATGTCTGCTTAATAACCCGAGAACTATTTGACGGTTGAGGGTGGCGCCTGGGTGATACAATTTAAAAGGACTGCAGATGAACTGGAAAGCAGTTGGGATGGGTGATATCTGCGTTAACAAAAGTCATATACCGCTAGTCCTCGACTTATAACAGTTTGTTTAGTGACCGTTTGAAGTTACAAGGGCACCAAAAAAACCCCGACTTACGACTGGTTCTCCCGCTTATGACCGTTGCAGCGTCCCCACGGTCACGTGATTAAAATTCAGGCGCTGGGCAACCAACTCATGTTTGATGGATCCTTCATCATCCTCTTCCTCTCTTCCATCCATCCTGGCTCACAGCCTCCTCCAGAGAGACGTGTCTTCACATCGCGTGTCGGAAGGAGTATAATCTGAGCCTGGTCATTTCTGCCTGGAGGGAGAACTCTGGCTTGACTGCTTCAGTGATTCATTTGGCCTACCTCGAAGGGCTGACAAGGGTCCCAAATCCCCCTTTTCTCTCCCTGACAGCAGGGCCCTAAAAGACACCCCCAGTCCTTATGGGGATCCCCTTTCCTTAGGTGTGATTGCAGAGCGAAGAAAAAAATGTGAAATTTCCAGACGAGGCAGCAGATCCCCACCGGTCACATTCCCAGCCTCTCCTGGGGGCCTTTTGTGAAACAAAATCCAACACCTGCACAGGCCAAAATTAGCAAGTGCGTCTCTTCCTCATCTGCCCCCAGGCTCACCTGTCTCTCCAACCCGCTTGGACCCCCCCGTCACACCTGCCCACTGCCCCTTCCGCCTGAGCGGCCGCCCTTCCACATCTGCACCTCGCAACTTAGACATCTAGCTCTCTGCAGTCCTCGACTTAACAAAAGTTCATCTAGTGACCGTTCAAAGCTACAACGGCGCTGAAAAAAATGACTTATGACCACTTTTCACACTTAACGACCGTTGCAGTAGCCTCCTCACGGTCACGTGATCAAAATTCAGCCGCTTGGCAACTGACTCGTATTTACGACGGTCGCAGCGTCCCCCAGGGTCACGTGATCCCCTTTTGTGATCTTCTGACAAGCAAAGTCAATGGGGGGGTAAAGCCGGATTCACTTAACAACCGTGTTACTACCTTAAAAACTGCAGTGATTCGCTTAACAGCTGGAACAAGGAAGGTCGTAAAATGGAGCAAAACTCACTTAACAAGACTCTCGCTTAGCAACAGAAAGTTTGGGCTCAGTTGTGTCGTACGTCGAGGACTGCCTGTAAGCAGGAAGTCCGCAGAGTGGCCGGGGTTAGGGCTAAGGCTAGAATTGGGGTTCGGCTTCCTGTTTACCAGCCAGCTGCCCCAGAGAAGCCTGGAGGGCTGACACACAAATTCAGAGGCCCCAGGCAAGGGAGGGCAGGGGACCAGGCGGGTGCTCACCCCTGCCAGGACATGCCAAACAGCAGCAGGGCTTCCGTGGCACCGTGCCCAGAGAGCTGGCTTTACCAAATTATTTACAAATCAGTGTACAACTATTTGTGGGTGCTCCATCCCTGGAAGTTACGAGTCTGAGATGAAAGGCAAGACGGAAACGGTGCTTCCTGCATCCGGCTGAGCCATCCCAGCCTCACCAGGTGAGCTCCAGGTGGTTATTGTGACTTCCAGGGATGGAGAAACGGAGGACCCAACCAGGAGATGACTCACCCACCAAACAGGGTATAGGACCGGCTCTGTGCGACCAGGGAGGCTCCGGACACTTCTCCGCCCCAAAATAAAGCTGGGTGCTGCTTTACTCACAGGAAGACCTCTTCTTGCAGGGTGGTGGCAGTGTGACAGTCCTCCTTTTCGCACTCCTGAGTCATTTGCGGGTCTGTCAACACAACCAGAGACTGTAGCATCCCTGAGAGGTAAGGAATTTGTACTGTTGGAGGTACAGAGAAGAGAGATGTTTGGCTCTTTGGCTGCTCCGGGGAAAAAGCTGACCAGGGTCCCTAATGGGTAGATGGAACTCCCTGCCACAAGATGCCTGAACAGGCCTGGCTCAGGGTGTGTGTGAAGAGTGAGAACAATTTCCTGAGGAAGGGGTGGGTGAGAAGGGGCAGGATGATGGAGACCCTCCAATTTTCCCAGGAAAGTCTGAAGAAGCAGTCTGGGACCCAGATGGGGACTGGGGAAGTGCCATTCTGGAGGTGGTTATGGTCCACCCCGTTGTGTACTGGCTCCCTCTCAGCTAATTTTCTGTTAATTCTAATGTTGTATTTATCGTTTCAATGTTTTGTAACAGGGGGTCTCTGACCTCGGCCATTTTAAGACCTGTGGACTGGGGAATTCTGGGAGTTGAAGTCCACAGATCTTAAAGTGGCCGAGGTTGGACACCCTATTTTATAGTCTTGTTTTTATCCTGCTGTAAGTCTCCCAGGGCCCCTGATACTGCGATGGGCGACATACACATTTAATAAATACGTAAGGGTGTAGGTATATACATATGTTGTATATAGTATGTTTAAATGTGTGTTATGCGTGTGTACACTTTTGAGAGCAAGCAACTGCATTTCATTTTTAATGTGTGCTGTTGTGCCTACAGTAAAAAATGACAATAAAGGTTATCTAAATAAATAATAATAATAATAAAAAAGCACAGCTGACGGACAGTCCCTGCTGATGTCCACCCTCTCTATGAAGCTTTGGGGTGGTTTAGAACCCCCCTCCCCCCAAAAGGAATCCCAGCTCACAAACAGGGCCGGGGACTCTGCTTGGGCCCAACCAGCGCTTTGAGCTGAGCCTACCTCGCTGTGCTGTTGTGCAGGTGAAAAGAAAGGGGTGAAAGGGCAAACCTGGTCCGTCGCACGGCACACCTGAGCGGGTCTGATTAATGAACTACCGGCACTCCTCAACCTACAACCAGAACTGAACCCCAGAGTTTAGTTGCTAAGCCAGGCGGCTGTTAATTGAGTTGTTAAGCGAATCACTCCAGTTGCCCACTGAGCCTCATGGTCGTTAAATGAACCCACCTTCCCCCATTGACTTTGCTTGTTGGAAGCAGCTGGGAAGGTCGCAAATGGGGATCACCTGACCCCCCCCCCCCCCGGGACGCTGCAACGGTCGTAGATACGAGCCAGTTCCCAAGTGCCTGAATTCCGGCTATGTGACCAAAGGGAAGCTGCGACGGTCGTTAAATATGAAAAAGGATCATTAGTCACTTTTTCATTGCGGTTGTAACTTCAGTCACTAAACGAATGAGTGGTCCTCGACTTACAACCGTTTGTTTAGTAACCGCTCAAAATTACAACAGCCCAGAAAAATGTGACTTACGGCTGTTTTTCTCACACTTATGGCCGTGGCAGCCTCCCCACGGTCACGTGATCAAAATTCAGACGGTTGGCAGCGGACTCCTACTTATGACGGCTGCAGTGTCTCCCGGGATCATGTGATCCCCTTTTGCAATCTTCCGACAAGCCAAGCCAATGGGGAAGCCGGATTCGCTTAACGGCCACATTCCTAACTCATCAACTGCAGTAAGGTAACTGCAACTTTAACCAGTAAGGCGAGAAAGGTTGTAAAAAAGAGACAAAACTCACTTAAAAGCCGCCTCACTTAGCAACAGAATTCCTGTGCTCAGTTGTGGTCGTACCTCGAGGACTCCCTGTATCGTGGGAAGTTGCAGAAATGCCCCCCCCTCACCGCTGTCCCTCTTTTCTCCCCTCCCCCCTTTCCAGGAGCCATGGGGAGCCCCGCGGAGCCGCTGAGCGCGCTGGGCCGCTGGTACCTGTACGCGCTGCACGGCTACCTGGCAGAGATGCTGTTCACAGCCGTCTGGGATTTCGCGCTGGACCGGGACTGGCGCCTCCGCGGGGGGAGCAGCCTGTGGGCGCCCCTCATCTATGGCACCTGCGGGCTGGCCCTGGAGCACCTCTACCTGCGCCTGCGGGACCACCACCGCCTGCCCACCCGCGCCGCCTTCTACACCGCCGTCATCTACCTGTGGGAGTTCATCACGGGCTACCTGCTGCGCCGGGCGGGGGCCTGTCCCTGGGACTACGGCCACTTCCGCTACAACCTGCTGGGGCTGGTCACGCTGGAGTACGGGGGCTTCTGGTACCTGGGCTCCATCCTGCTGGAGACCCTTGTCATCCGCAACGTGCTCCGGCTCCGAGTGGAGGGCATGGGGAAGTCCCGCTGGGCCCGACCTGCCTTTGCGCGGCAAGAGGACTGAGACGGGGAGGGGGGAGGGAAGGAGAGCCTCCCCTCTTTCTTCCCAGGAGACCCCCGTTCCTGCCCAGTAGATCCCCTCCCCCTGTTTCTGCCTGGGAGACCCCTACCCATTTCTGCCTGGGGGACCCAATTTTTGTTCCTGCCCAGTAGACCCTCCCCGTTTCTGCCTGGGAAATCACCGTTTTTGCCTTGGAGACCCTCCCTGCTTCTGCTTGGGAGACCTTCGTTCCTGCCCGGGAGACCCCCCCCGTTTCTTCCCAGAAGACCCAGGTCCTTTTTCTACCCAGGAAACAACCCCCCCATTCCTGCCCAAGAAGCATACCGCCCCCCAGCCTTCCCCCCCTTCATGAAACACGAGAAAGGCGCCTGGTTTTGAGTGAAAAGCCCTGGACTCAGTCAAGGAAGGCAGAAGCTGCAAAACAAGTGACCTCTTGGACCACCCACCCCCTTTCTTTCCTGCCTGGGGCACACAGGTAGTCCTCAACTTACGACCCCAACTTAACCCAAAATTTCCATTGCTAAGCAAAGTAGTTGTTAAGTGAGCTTTGCCCCATTTTACCACCGTTCCTGCCAGTTGTTAAGCGAATCACTGCATTTGTTAAGCGAGTAACACAGTTGTTAAGTGAACTTGGCTTCCTCACTGCTTGTCAGGGGGCCGCAAAAGAGGATCACATGACCCCCTGAGACACAGCAAGCGTCATAAATAGGAGCCAGTTGCCAAGCGTCTGAATTTTGATTCGGTGACCATGAATGGAGGCTGCAATGGTCCTAAATTGGAAAAACGATGATAAATCACTTTTTTCAGTGCCGTTGTAACTTTGAACGGTCACTAAATTAACGGTTGTAAGTCAAGGACTGCCTGCAGCTTCTGCAATCTGCCTTACCTGTACAGGTGACCCTGGTTTCAAACTCAACTCAGTGGGAAAAGAGCTTGTAATAGACAGTGGTCAATCTCTGGTGTGGTTCTCTCTTAGAACTAAGCCAGGGAATAAACCACCATTGGTTGGGTTTGTCCAGAGCTGGACAACCTGGAACACCAGTGCAGGATTGGCCCTTAAAACATTCAAAACTTTGTGGCTGGATTGTAATCTTCAAAAAGAAAAAGGCATGAATTCCACAAATTGGATAACCCCAAAGACATGTATTGACTTCTAATTAAAGGGAAATTAATTGAAATTTTGTTTTGGTCCTGGTCCCATCCTCTGTTTTGGAGAGTGTGATGTTTGCCTGCAATTTTTGGCCTAAAAACTTTTCGGTTCCATTCAGAATTTTTTTCAGCCCATGAGAAACCTTGGTTTGCAAAACAACACAGCTGGTTTGAGTGACAACCTAAAATAAACCCAAATGAATCACAGCTTGGCTTAGCAGGATGTGGGGACCCAATTCCAGAATAGCTTCACACCTAATGGGGTGTCCAACTTGGGCAACTTGAAGACTTGTGGACTTCAACTCCCAGAATTCCCCATCCAGCAAAGCTTGTGGAGTTGAAGTCCACAAGTCTTAAAGTTGCCAACCCTGCTTTAAGGCATGATGGTTTAACCACAGTTCCCTGGCTGAGCCACAAAAGTATTAGGCATTGCCCCAGACTGCTAGGAACAAACCCAGTTTTTCAAGCTAGGGTTCATGCAAACAAGCTATAAATTGAAAAACCACACATCACTTAGTGCAATATTCAGAGTGGGATGCCTCCTTCTACTCTAATCCGTGGTGTCACCTGGCCAGGTGGACACGCGGGATTAAGGAAATTGGAGCACCCAGAGGAAGGATTACAGGCTGCACACATCACCCCCAGCCAAGCTTAGCTTTGCATAAATGTTAGTGTTGAAAAGACACGTACAACACTTACACCTACATGCACAACAGATGTGAAAATCTGTGCCAAACAAGCCACTTCAAGGTTCTCAATTTTCTGGGCCAGGCCGGACTGGACAGAAGGTCCAGCTTGTTTGTGTTGCCTTCTCTTGTCCCTTTGTGGCCGGACAGAAAGATGCCCTCCATCCATAGGAGAGCGTGTCCAAGTGGGGTCTTTGACGAATTGCTGGCTCTGTGGGATATTTTATTATTTTATTTTATTATTTTATATTTTATTTTATTTTATTATTTTATATTTTATTTTATTTTATTATTTTATTTATTTTACTTTACTTTTGCTTTACTTTATTATTTTATTTATTTTATTCATTTTATTAGTAATCATTAATTTACAAGCACAACTAAGTCCAACATTTCTTTTGCTAAGCAAGACATGGGTTAAGTGAATTTTGCCCCATTTTACGACCTTGCTTGCCACAGTTGTTAAGTGAATCACCACTGCACTTGTTTAGTAACACAGTTGTTAAGTCAGTGGTTCTCAACCTTTTTAATGCCACGACCCCAACCGGTCGTAAGTCAAGGACTAAACCGGTCGTAAGTCGAGGACTAAACCGGTCGTAAGTCAAGGACTACCCAACTGGTCGTAAGTCGAGGACTTTCCCTGACCGGGAGCGTCGTGCATGCGTGGTTCCGCCCCCTGCGCTGGCCGAGGCATAGCTGGCAAGCGGCAGAGACGGAGCAGGCCGACCACCAGCTGGCCCAGCCCAAGGGAGGTAAGGCACCCGCCGGAAAAGGGGGAAAAAATGGCGGACAAAAAAAATGGCGGACAGCCTTGCTTGGCGACCCCCATGAAATGGTCGATCGACCCCAAATGGGGTCCTGACCCACAGGTTGAGAACCACTGTGTTAAGTGAACCCGGCTTCCCCATTGACTTTGCTTGTCAGAAGGTCGTAAAAAGTGATCAGCTCACCCTGGGACACCGCGACCGTCATAAATAGGAGTCAGTTGCCACGTGTCTGAATTTTGATCCCGTGACTACGAGGACGCTGCAACGGTCGTAAGTGTGAAAAGCGGTCACAAGTCACTTTTTTCAGTGCTGTTGTAACTACCAACGGTTACTAAACGAACTGCTGTAAGTTGAGGACTATCTGTAGATCTTTCTGGATTGCACAGTTCTGTGCTTCTCGACACGCTCTCTCCTTGGTTGTGAAAAATTGTCCTAGTTCTCTTTTAGTGTTTTAGCTTTTCATGCTTACCTCTTCTGGACATGGGGGGGGCAGGGGGGGCAGAGAAGCGGACTGCCATCCTGTAATAAAACTTTGATTGGATTAAATGGGATTGGAAGCCACTGTACTAACCTGACATTCCAGCGGGAACCGGCCACGGGACCGGATAATCGTAAAGCCTTCAATTGGCTCAATTAAGCCTGACCCAGATGGGTGGGTGATTTGCAAAGAAGGATCGGTTGATCCCTCTGCGGAAGTGCTGGCCAAGATGCAACCAGAGAAGGGATCCGCAGCTTAACTTGGGGGCGTTTCCCTCCTCCTCCTCTTCCTCCGTGGACGGTTTGAGTCAGCTCAACTCCTCCTGGGGTGGGGGCTGCTCTCCGCCTGACCTCCCCTAAAAACCTCCTTGCTCAGCCTTGCTTTTCAAAGCACAACGTGGGATGGAGAGGAATCTACTCCGTACATGCTCCAAGTCTCTTTATTCTTGGCCCCTCCGGTGCACTGCATGCGCTGGCCGGCAGAGGGCAGGAGAGCCACGGCCGGGAACAGATCCCCGGTGAAAGTGGCTGGGAAGGGGGAACCGGTGTGGGGAGGGCAGACGGGCAAGCCTGGTGGGGAGAGATGGGATCCGGCGGGGAAGATGGCTCTGTTCCCGGGCACTTCTGTCCGGTGCAGGGAATTTAGTGTGGAGGGTCATGTAAACGGGCCCAGCGCTTAACCACCGGCTTCCTAATTTAACAGCTGAAGTGATTCAGTTAACAACCGTGGCAAGAAAGGTCGTAAAATGGGGCAGAACTCACTTAACAAATGTCTCACTTAGCCACATACGCTTTGGGCTCAATTGTGGGGGTACGTCGAGGACCACCTGTATTTCTGGAGAATGCTGCGGGTGCCGATCCAGACTGCGCAAGGAGACACTCCTCCTCCTCCTCCTCCTCCTCCGATGGCTCTACCTAACCTGCCACAACAATGGAGAAACTGAGGCCCCAGCAAGAGGAAGTGACTCACCTACTAAGCTGGGGGTGGAAATAGGAGTTCCCTTGTTTGTGCCTCCAACCACTAGGCATCATTCCCCTCCCGATGGGGATAGAGGCTACTGGAGGTGCTTCCCGGCTTGCTAGCCCAATCTTTCCAAAGCACCAGCCACGGAGGGCAGCCTGGGCACCGAAAAGGCACCGTTAGGGGGGTAAGTCACTCCACAAGGCTGCTGACACGGGGGTAGCAAGCCTGGCACCTGACCCAGCCCTCCGGCTTTCCCCTTAGAAAGGCAGTTTAGGTGCCAGGCTGCTGGGTGTCACTTGCAGGCCTAAAAGAAAAAGAAAGAAAGAAAGAAAGAAAGAAAGAAAGAAAGAAAGAAAGAAAGAAAGAAGAGAAAGAAAGAAAGAAGAGAAAGAAAAAAGAGAAAGAAGGAAGGAAGGAAGGAAGGAAGGAAGGAAAGAAAGAAAGAAAGAAAGAAAGAAAGAAAGAAAGAAAGAAAGAAAGGAAGGAAGGAAGGAAGGAAGGAAGGAAGGAAGGAAGGAAAGAAAGAAAGAAAGAAAGAAAGAAAGAAAGAAAGAAAGAAAGAAAGAAAGAAAGAAAGAAAGAAAGAAAGAAAGAAAGAAAGAAAGAAAGAGAGAATAGAGGGAGGGAGAAAGAGAGAGGTTGGAGGGCAGGGGAAGCACAGGGGTGCCCGAGGCAGGGTTCAGCTGCTGTTCCCCAGGCTCTCCCTTTCCTACAGCCATCCCGGCTGAGGATGATGGAACGATCATGCTGCCCACGCAGAGCCCCCCCCCCACTTCTTCTGAATCCCGGAGGCTTCGTGTTTTATCCGGCCAGTTATTGCTCCGGAGGTTTACAATATAAGCATCAAAGCATCAGATATGGGAACGCAAAGTCCTGTGCCTGTTTTTAAGGCAGTTGTGAATCTGGGCAAGGAGGTCATTTCGACAATGGGGGCAGTGTGTGTGTGTATGGGGTGGGGGTGACAGCACTCAACTGGGTTCAAGCCCCCCCCACCCCCTTAGTGATGACACTTGGATCCAGTCGCTCTCCCTGTATGCCACTTTCAACAGCTGGAGAAAAGGGAGGGGTGGACAGAGATACCATCAGAAGTAATGGGATAGTAACAACTTTGCTGCCACTGCAAGGGGTTTTAAAGGAGCTGGTGGAGCCTCTCTGTACAGGGGCTCTCTACCCTGAGACCTCTCTTCCCGCGGGGGGGAGGAATACTGCCCTGTGGGGGTCACAGGGGGGCTGTTGTGAGGAACAAAATTGCAAAAGGCAAATTTGGGGCCAGATTTAAGCCCAGCCCTGCTTGCAATCTTTTGCTTCGCTGCAGGAGAAGGTGGAGGAACCAGTCTGAGCTGCACCACAACCTTAGCTGGTAAAACCAACCCACTGGGGATCTGCTGACCTCTTTATCTCGCTCCTTCGCCTCACCTCCCAAGAATTTCCTCACGGTTTCAAAACAAAAAAAAAGACCCACGCTTCTAGCCCTCAAGATTCAAACAAACGTGAATCTGAAAGTGTACAAGGAGTAAAGGGAAGGAAGAGAAGGTTACGGGGAGGGGAACAAAATATTTGCCTGGTCTTCTCTCCCTTCCTCTGAAAATAATAAAGAGGTAAAGAAGGGCAAGTTAAGGTGCAAACTGAGTCCTTTGGTTACAAGACCTCTTTTTCACCAGAAGGAAAAATAAGGGTAAGCGCCTAGTCCTCATGAAGGCCAGTGAACCTCTCAGCAGACGGTGCTGTGAGATGTGAGCACTGTGGCCCTCCCACTGATTGATTGGTGACTAAATCGACATGTCGCCCGTCTCCCCGTCCAAAGTTAGGAACATCGGCTAAGCATTCAGTGCAGGGCTGTCCAGCCGTGGCTACTTCAAGACCGGTGGACTTCAACTCCCAGAATTCCCCAGCCAGCTTGGCCGACTGTGGGTTTGCAGGGGGTGTGTTTTTTTTCCCCTGGAGGTGCCAATTCTCACCTGCTCTTTTCTCCCGGCCTGCAGCTCGCCCGCCATGGAGGGCTCCGCGGAACCGCTGAGCCCGCTCTGCCGCTCCTACATCTACGCCATCCACGGCTACTTCTGCGAGATCCTTTTCGTGGTGCTTATCCTGGACCAGGACTGGGTCTTCCAGGGAGCCCTCAGCGCCTGCTCCCTCCTGGTCTACGGGACCTGCGGGCTGGGCATGGAGGGCATCTACCTGCAGCTGCGGGGGGACTGCTGCCTGCTGACCCGCTGCGTCCTCTACACCGGCTGCATCTACCTCTGGCAGTTTGCCACCGGCTACCTGCTGCGCTGCCTGGGCGCCTGTCCCTGGGACCACGGCCACTTGCGCTACAACTTCATGGGCCTGGTCGCCCTGGAGCACGGCCTGCTTTTTTTTGTGGGGGCCCTCCTGCTGGAGAGGCTGGTCATCGCCCCCACCCTGCGCCTGCGCCTGGCCCCGGTCTGGAAACCCAAGGAGCGCCCCCTCCCCAAGTTTGAGCTGACCCACAACTGACCGCAGCTGCACCGGGCAGGAAAGGGAGGGAGCGCCCGGCACTGCCCTGCCTTCCATGCCGCCTGCTCCGCCAGCTCCTGTCCTCCAGCCCCTTTCTCAGGCCAGACAAGGCCGCTGGACCTGTCTGCCGGGCTGGGGAGGGGCTGCAGCTGGACCTGGGCAGGGAGAGCCGAGTTTGAAACCTCACCGAGCCAGGAAGCTAAGTCAGCCTTGCTTTGACCTACCTTGCAAGACTGTTGTGAAGACTGGCTGGACAAAGGCCCCGGGAGCTCCATGGAGGGAAGGCAGAGGCTCCAGATGCCAATAGGAATTGCGACTGTGGTTCGGGGGTCGGTTTTGTGATGCCACGGGATGCACGCATCTGTTTCTTAAAAGAGCAACCGAGTTAGAAGGGGCCTTGGAGGTCTTCTAGTCCAACCTCTGCTCAAGCAGGAGAATTAAAACGGAAGGAGAATAACAAGCGGAAATTCGGAATTAAATTCCCCAATCCACAGGAAACGGAGCCAGCAAAGGGCGATGTTAAAAGGCGAAGCCCCCCCCCCTCTTCTCGCGTTCTCTGGAGGGCAAAAAGGGGACCGATTCACACGGCTCCTTGGCTGCTCCGGAAGTTCGCTGCCCCCCAAACGTGGGAGGGCCAAACTGCCCCGCAGCTCTTCGCAGCCCCTCCGGTTCTCCCTGGGAGCCGGGCGGCACATAAATCCCATAAATGAATATTATTGTGGGCGATGAGTCCCTCGCACCGCCGGCTGGAGAGGCCACGCGGGCTGGGCGGCTTTGGAAAGCCGGGTCGGGTCGGGTCGTCTGAACGGGAGGCCGGGAGGAGGGGCCGCCTCGTGCAGGCGGGGAAGGGGCTCGGAGGGAGAAACGGGGCCGGCTCGCTCGTCCTCGCAGAGCCGGGAGATTTGGGCGGGGCTCTTCGGCCCAAACTGCGCCCCCCGCCCCGAATGAGGGGCTCCCCCGCCGCCCTGGCACGGCTGCAGAAACGTTGCGGGACGGGCTCGGCTCGGGACACGTGGGAAGAGCCCCGAAGGACGCGAGCTAACCAAAGAGGGGGCTCCTCCCTGACCCGCAGGCGCCCATCCTTGCCTCCCCCTCCCCAATTTGCCCGGCTGGCTTGGTCCCCCGTGGGAGGGGCAGGCGGCTCTAGGAAGGCGGGAGACCAGCCCGGTCAATGGGACGCTGCCCCGGGCTCAGCTCTGCCCCCTCCCCCAAATCCAAGCCCCCCGACTCCTCCTCCTGTGGAGGCAGCGGCGACCAATCTTGTAAAGGTCTCGCCCGCTCCCCAAACTGGCCAGGGATCGGGGGGCAGCCGCTCCTGCTCAGAGGTCCCCATGGGGAAAGCTTCCTGTTGACGCCCAGGGGGGGAATATGGAACCAAAGACCCCCCAAACCACTCTGCCCCCCACCCCCAATGTTGATGGGGTGAGGAGGGAGAGGCCATTGAACGCAGCCGCATCTGCATCTCCTCCCAACCCAACCGGGAAATTCTGTCCGTCTGGCTCCCCTCGGCTCTTGGGTCACTCGCGGCACCCTCGCCCCCTTTCCCTGCCCGTAATCCCTGGACTCCCGGGACTTTCCGAAGGCGTCGCGTTTCCGAGTTTTCCCTGCTGCACAAAGACGCGTCTTGTCGGCCAGCCGGCTGCGGTTGTGTTCCCACGGCCACTTAATTGGGTGGCTAAGTTTAGCTTCACGCCCTGGATCTGGGTCAAGCGTTGCTAATTCGAAAGAAACTCGTTGAGATTACAAATTCCGACATTTGATTGGCTTTGGGAGTAGGGTTGCCAGGTCTGCTTCCAAAAAATAGCGGACAAGCGGCGGGGGGGGGGGGGGGTTAAGTAGTAAAAAAAGTAGACTGTACAGCTTTAGATTACGTGCCATTTCATCATAAAGCTTTTGAATAAAAAAAATGTCCACTATCTTGTGAAAAAAAATAGTGAACATAATGTGAAAAAAGCGGACTGTCCACTCAAATAGTGGACACCTGGCAACCCTATTTGGGAGGGAAGCGGTCCAACTTCGGCTGGCCCGTCAAAAGATCTGGGCTCTGAGATCCGGGGCTGGTGTGCGAATGTTGGCTTATGAGATGAATGGCTTTCATGTGGGAAGTGAGTGGCGCCGTCTAGTGGCGAAGTGCAGTCTCTGCAGCAGCCTCTCTGCAGCGCCATCTGGAGGTGAGAAAAGTTGCTGGCGGAGAGCCCGTTGCTGGCTTGGCCTCCTTCAGCTTGGCTGGGGAATTCTGGGAGCTGAAGTCCAAATATCTAAAAGTTTCCCACTTTGGCAAAACCCTGCTTTAAAGCGTGGCATTCGCTGAGGCAGGAAACGGATGCGAATCCTGTACTATTGACCAACATGTGAGCAACTTGCCACGAGACCAGCCACGAGCAACAGAGGGTTCGTTTTTGACCTGACTCCTGATGACATCAGGGGTGCCGCTGTAAGTTCTCCCCCCACAAAAGTCTGGGGAGATTTGTCTTCTTTCAACGTGTTTTTTTTTCCTCTTCAGTTCTCCACTTTGGATCTCCTGGTGGCCTCCCTTCCTAAGATTAAGCCAAGTCAATGTCTTTGCAACTTCAGTCACTAAGTGAACGGTTGTAAGACAAGGACTACTTCTACGCAAACCTAGCCAGTGGCAATTTATTTAGTAAACTGGGTCCTTGTGCAGGGGGGGGGGAAGCGAGTCAGGGGCTGAGAGGCTGGCCTGGGTGTGCCAGGTGGGAGTGGCATCCATGCGCTCTGCACATGGCTGGCAGGCAGGCGGGGAGGGAGGGGCTCCCTGATCAGGCCTGTGTCTGCCCTGGGCAGTCCCTTTCTTTCCTTTTCGGTCTTTTTTTTTAATCCTCCCAGATCAGAACAGTTTGTTCCACTGTTGTGGTTGTGCTCATCGGGAGGTGTTTGCATGTGTGTGTGTGTGTGTGTGTGTGTGTGTGTGTGTGACGATGCGCTGTGAACATCTGCACCCGAGCGGTTTCCATTGATGGTGTCAGGACGAGGAGGGAACCGAAAGCCGAGGCTTCCTCTGCACCCCAAAGGACAGAAAAAGCTGGCCCAGGCAAGGGGGGGGGACCGCAGGACCACAGCCAGGGGGGGGGCAGCGGGGAGGGGAAGCTTTACGCAGTCAGCAGGAAGCTCTTGTTAACACACTTGTCCTGTTAAAAACAAAAGCCTGTCTCCAAGGAGACGTTGCTCTTATAATTTATTTATTTATTTATTATTTTTATTTATTTTTTAAACTTCTATGCCGCCCTTCTCCCCAGAGGGACTCAGGGCGGCTCACAGCATGTTAAAAAACAACACAAAAAAAAAAACATTTCCCCTATAAAACCAATTAAAAAGCAAATATATTAATGGCTGTGTCATATTTAAAATCTTTAAAAAATTTTAAAAATTATTCCCTATTTAAAATTCACCCTAG